AAAAAAAAAAGAATAGAACTTGTTTTCTAATGCTACTGTGGTATGGTTGTCAGTTCATAGATTGCAGTTTAGTTTCCCTTGGAACAGCTCTAGGTTTTTAAAAATTGATTAATACAAAGAATAATCAAATATAATGGTGAATTCTTTGAATTTATCCATCTTCTTACTTATGAATAAAATATCTCTGGTCTTTTCCTAAGTGTTACCATCAGTGACAGGAAAAATTACAAATTAGAGTTACTATAATATTTTATTTTAAATGACTAGTTTTCAACAGAAAATTAAGAGACTTGCAAAGAAATGAAAATGTGTGACCCAGAGTCAGGGGAAAAAAGCAGTCAATGCATATGTCTCCCAGTGTTCCCAGATGTTGAATTTAGCAAAAACTTCAAAGCAGCTATCATAAGTATGCTCAAGGAACTAACGGTAATCATATTTAAAGAATTAAGTGAAGTTGTGACAACAATAAGTCAACAAATAGAAAATTTCAATAAGGACATAAAAATTATATAAAAGGCCAAATGGAAATTCTAGAGTGGAAGATTACAGTAAAAATGAAAAAATTGCTGGAGTAGTCCAACAGCATATTTTAAATGGTGGAAGAAAGAATCATTGAACATGAAGATAAACTAATAGAAGTAATTTAATACAGAGAACAGAGAAAAAAATGATTTTTAAAAAAGAACAAGTCTCAGTGATTTGTGGGACAACAGCAAGTATACCAACATATCTATAATGGTAGTCACAGGAGAGGAGAAGGAAGTACATAAAAATATTAGAAAAAATGACTAAAAGCTTTTCAATTTTGATGTAAAACCTTAATCTACATGTTTAACAAGTTCATCGGACATCAAGGAAGATAAATACAAAAAAAACCCCACACCCAGATCCATTATAGTCAAACTGTTGATAGTTAAAGACAAAGATAAATCTTGAATATCAGCAACAGAAGAATGATTCGTCACATACAAGGGAACACCAATACAATTAATAGCCGTTCCCATGTGAACAGTAGAGGCCAGAAAGTAGTGGAATGATATAGTCAAAGCACTGAAAGAAAAAACAATCAATTGATATATCCAGCAAAACAATACTTTAAAAATGAATGTAAAATAAAATCAACCTCAAATAAACAATCAGCAGTGCCTTGCAAGAAGCGCTAAATGAAGGTCTTTTGACTGAAAAGAAATGACCCAAATGGTAAATTGAGACTACAGGAAAAAATGAAGAGCACTGGAAATGTGAATATGTAGATTAATGTAAAAGACTCTAAAAGGATAACTATTGCATTGTTCTGTACACCTGAAGCTAATAATAAAAAATAAATAAATAAAATACTCTAAATGTTTTTTTCCCCATTTGTTCTCTAAACTCAATGAGAAAACACAAACCTTTCTTTCAAAGTCAGAAACATGATGAGAATGCAGACACTCTGCCATACCATTTATCATTATTATGAGATTATTAACCAATGTAATTAGATAAGAAAGCAAATAGAGACACAATAATTGGAAAGTAAGAGGCAAAACTATGTCTATTTGGAGATGCTACTATATATCTGAAAAATCTAAACTAAATTAATGCAAAAATTAAGTAAAAATTGTAATCATGGAACAGGTTATAAAATTAATTAATCTGCAAAAATCAGTAATTTTCATAAACACAAACAGAAACCATTTAGAAGATATAATGAAAGACAGGACCTTATTTAATGGAGCCAAAAATGAAAGTTAAATGCATAGGTATAAATGTAGCAGAAAATGTCTAAAGCCCATGTGAGGAAAGTAATAAAACACTCCACAAAACACACATGTAGACATGAATAAATGGAAAGACATATTATGTTCCTGGATAAAAAGATGCAACCTCTTATGAATGTCATTTCTTCCTAAGTTACTTTATAATTTTTTTTCTCTTTTGCTATCACAAGGTTTTATCCCACAGCTTGACAGTTTGAAAATATTTGTTATGAAGCATAAACAAGCCAGAAATACCTAGTAAAGAAGAGCATTGAAGAAGACTAATTCGACCAGATATTAAAATATACTATAAAGCCACTATAAGGAAAACAGTATGGTACTGCCACCTGAATAAAGTGAGACAAGAGAACAAAATGTAAACAGAAATCGGTCTGACTGCATTATTACTGTGTTATATAAAAGTTGCATCTCAAATCAGTGGGGAAATATTTTTCACTGCATGTAAAATAAGAGGTACAAGGAAAACTGGATAGTCACATAATAAAAATAACCTGGACCTATTCGTCACAACATACACCAGAATCCAAAGTGGGTCAGAAATACAAACATACAAGTACTAGAAGAAAGCATGGGTGAATTCCTCTATAACCTGGGAATGTGGGAAGCTTTCTTAACTGTAACCCAAAATCCAAAAGCAATAAGAAAAAAGTTTGATTAATTTGTTTACATAAATATTAAAAAATTATTTCCTAACTATGACAAGCAAGTAACATGGTTTAATTGTATTTCAACTTTCATCTTAACAGAAAATGCAAATGAATTATAGAAAAACACATCTGTCATTCAATTTGCTATACAAATGAGTCAGAGAAAGTTCAACACTGAATTGTATGGCTTGCCCCTCTTGATCCCTTCTTTGAGAGTTGGGAGATTTATCCAGACCATAAGGATGTTCTTGGTTCCTTGGTAAATTCATATGTACCTCTATGTTGTAACTTCCCAAGAGTTAGTGTGTTGGCAACAGCACCAGCTATTCTATAACAAACCAGGACCCCTTGGTATACAAAGTTCAGCATTTTGATGCAGGTTTAAAAAAATAAGTCATTTCACTTTTAATGTCTTGTCAAGAACATAGAAATGTGCAGAGCAAATATTTTGATTCCATTCCTGTCATTTCACCCCCACAAAAGCTGGCAATCATGAATGTAGCCAAAACAGGTATTTTATATTACTTTTATTCAAAATTAAATGACTTATACTTTTAAGGTTCCAAGCAAATTGCTACCAAGTCTCTTGCACCATTAGGTATACTATTTCATCAATCTACACAATATTTTGCCACCCCTGGCTCAGCACTATGTACCAATAGGAAAGTGTTCAGTTAGTACTCATGGCAGGTCCTAAAAAACTCTCCTTTTGGCTTGCCACCCATAATTTCATCATCACCACTGAAATGGGCTGAGCCCATATTTTTGCCTCAGCACCACATAAATACCATCATAGTATGTTTGCCTTGAAAAGGCCACCCGAGCTGTCTTGCTACACGCTAAGGTAAAATGGTGTTTAAAACGTACCCGAACAAATTTAGTCGTCGAAAAGTGTCAGTCTTTCTTTTCAGCACAATTTATTTAATAGGTGTAGCTTGGAGGTTAAATTCAAGAAAAACATCCTTACCTGACAGATGGAGAGTACTCGTACTATTCAAAGAACTGAAAATATATTCTGTAAAATAGCCTGGGGAAGGCAAGTTTCTTTGCCCCAGACAAACACCTTGGAGGGACAAAGCAATGATTGTTGCCGCCAACTGAGGAAGTGTATTTTCATCAGCACCATCACTGCTCAGGATCCCAGACTTTTTCTGCAGCATTTTGGTTTCCATACACTGAAAACAGATACAGAGGAAGAAGAAAATTTTAACCTCTGAAGTCATTTTGATTAAAACATCTCTAGGATTTTCTCCAAAGACAAGGAATATTTCTTCATCTAAAAGAAGATTAAATTGTGGGAAGATGGCTATCAGCATTCTCTAGTCTGAGATATAACTTTATTGGGAAAATACTTGTTTCTTTTATCTGCCACAACACTGAATTTTCTAACTCCGATCCCACTGGTACTCATTTATCTAACCTTCTCATTTCTCCCTTAAAGATGTGTTTTCTCCAAGGAGATCTCTCATTCTTACCATTTACATCCTTTCATATGGTGAACTGTTTCTTTCTAGCTTCAAGTACAGCCTGCAGTGTAATAACTTTCAAATCTATATTCCTGACCTTGACTTCACACTGGCTCTGCTGCCTTGAATCATCACAGAGAACCTCTCCTTTCACGCCTGCCTTTCGTCTCAAGTTCATTATGTACTGATTGTAAATCAAAGCTAGCATAGTGACTGTCTTCTTTGAACTCCCATAGTACATAGGACATATGACATCGGATCTTTTCATGTGTACATCAATGTTCCTCAATTAAATTAGCGGCATCAAAAAGGCTAGAATCTTGCCTTACATCCCACTACTATTACCATTTATTTAAATATTTATTGAGTGCCTACTATGTGCCAGAC